AAAGGACCTTAAAGATCAAGTTCCAACACCCCGCCATAGACAAGAACACCTCCCACTAGACCAGGTTGCCCAAGGTCACGTCCAGCCTGTCCTTGAACACCTCCAGGGGTGGGGCCTCAACAGCCTCTCTGGGCAACCTGTTCCAGTGCCTTACCACCCTCACAGTGAAAAATTTCATCCTGATTGTGAAATGTGTTCACCTGATTCGTGTCAATATGGACCAATGCGAGTGCCGCGTGGTGAAATGTGACTTTCTGTCTTATATACCCTTGTATAACCACAGGCCTAAGAGAAATGGAGTGGTTAATGTATATAGTTTTTGCTTTTTGTAAAAGACATACTTGTGTGTTGGTTTGGACTGGTTTTGCTGTTAACCGTATGGTGTCAAGCCATAAAAATCTAGAGTCATCCTAAGGGTGAGCCGAGGAAGGTCATGCGCGTGTGTGGAGTCTGGGGTCATCCTGAGGGCGAGCCGAGGAAGACCACTGACTTTATACACTGACCACCAGATGGGAGCCAAGAAGACTCCGAGGGCATGCACAGAAAGAGAGAACCCTACTCCTGGAATTTATTCGCATAGACCCACCTTTTCTATGAATATGTATTAGCAGAAAGGATATAAACCAGAAACAGGAACTGTACAGTGTGTATCTTGGTAGAGTAGTGACTCCTGGTGCACCCAGCGCTGTTTGCTTGCATTTATTCATTTAATAAATTGTAAACTTAAATTGCAACACGATCTGGGACTAAGTAATTTATCACACTGATTAACCTAAATCTGCCCTTTTCCAGTTTAAAGCCATTCCCCCTCATCCTATCACTACATGCCCTCGCAAAAAGTCCTTCCCCAGCTCTCCTGTAGGCCCCCTTTAGGTACTGGAAGTCCGCAATAAAATCTCCCCAGAGCCTTCTCTTCTCCAGGCTGAACAGCCCCAACTCTCTCAGCCTCTCCTCATAGGAGAGGTGCTCCAGCCCTTGGATCATCCTCATTACTCTCCTCTGGACACGCTCCAGCAGGTCCATGTCCTTCTTATGTTGGGGACTCCAGAGCTGGATGCAGTGCTCCAGGTGGGGTCTCACGAGAGTGGAGTAGAGGTGCAGAATCACCTCCCTTGACCTGCTGGCCACAGTTCTTTTGATGCAGCCCAGGATACGGTTGGCCTTCTGGGCTGCAATCACATTGCTGGCTCATGTTGAGCTTCTCATCAATCGGCACGCCCGGGTTCTTCTCCTCAGGGCTGCTCTCCAGCCATTCCCTGCCGAGCCTGTATTTGTGCTTGGGATTGCCCTGACCCAGATGTAGGACCTTGCACTTAACCAGCCTGTTGTCTGTCCTGTAGAACAGCTTTTTGTGTTTCAGCTGCTCCTTCAGGTAGGGGGCAATTCACTTTCTGTCCCTTTCTTCCTGGCTTTCTTCAAAGGCTTGTATGCATCGGTGACAAACCTGCAGTCGTGTGAGCTATTCATGTGTCTCTGTTACTCCAGTGTCATAGTTCTGTGTACAGTTACTTGAGGTGGTTCCCTTTTCAACATGTTTTATCCTTGCCAAGGTCTCTCTTCCTCCCACCAACCTGACCCGTGTACTTAACATGTCTGAATCTCTATTCCCGCCCTTAACTGCAAATTTCTGTCACCGTTCCCTGATAGACCTCTCATTTAAAGTGCTTGTCACCAGATTTGATGAGGATGTTCCTAACCCACTTTGTCTAGTGGATCCCATCTCTAACTTAGCAGCCGTTACATCTCAAGGGTACTTGTGGCCATAAAAAACTAAAACACTGCCTGCACTGCCAGTCCTGCAGCAAGTAGCTAACTTGCAGGATGTGTCTCCACAAGCCTTTTTCCCTTCACATGAAAGAGCAAGGAGGACAAACATCACCTGGGGTCCCGTGTCCTGTTTTACTGCTGGAGTTTTCTAGTCACTCTTGATTTGCTCCAGGTCTCCTTTGTTAATAGCATGGGTGCCTGTGTGAGTAAGTAATAGTAATAGTTAGAAACAAAAAGCAAGATTGGTGATAATAATATGGGGTAGTAGTTTAATAATTAATAGTCCAAGGGTTGGAGGACCCTTGGTGATCTCTCTAACATGCTGAATCTGGCCAAACCTCCTTCCCCAGCAAATCTGGCAGCAGATGTCTGTGTCTCCTCTGCAGAAGGGAATCTCCAACTAGTATTACCTGCCACTCCTTCATATTACTAATGCTTAATTCAAACCCAGCCAACTCTGACACCTACTTTGAGATGCTTGCTGCTTCTGCCTGTCATTCTAATGTTGACAAAAACAAACAAAAAAAAAAGAGAAAGTGGAAAATAGCTTTATATGCTTGTGTTCTTAGCATAAGAAAGAGACCGTGGAGCACCAGTATAACAAAAATGAGGTGTTGGGAGACATGCAATAAGAACAGAATTGAGATTTATGAAAAATCTCTGAGACTTAAAAGGCTCAGACCAGTGTTTGGGTACCTCTCGTAGCAGCTTATGTGTGCTGCAAGCTTCACAAGCAGGAATTGATTGTTGAGAGCTATTCTGAGGTTCTCGTGCTTCAAATTCCGTTGACATGTTTACATGCAGTCAATGTGCATCAACACACTACTCACACTTCAAAAGTTTTAATTTTTGTAACAATCTTCTATGTTGGTGTCATGGTTTGGGCTGGACTGGCCACTGAGGCGAACAACAGATATTCTCCCCCATCTGTCTCCAAGGAGAGGAGGGAGAGAGAAAGAAAGAGACTTAGGAGTTTAGAAGGAACTAAACTACTTTAATGAAATATTAATAATAAAATGAAAATAATGAAATATACAAAACTATCAAGCTCCCAGGATGACAATCACGTCACCGGCTGGCACTGGGGTAGTCCCAGACTGGACTCAGTGATGGACAGGAACTGGATGCCAGATCTGGATTCAGGATGGGGATCAAAGGCAGATGAACCGACAGAGTCCTTCTCAGACGCTGGCCATTGAAGAAAGAGGGCTGACCCTTTGCTCCCTCAGCTTTTGTACTGAGCATGAGGCAGATGGGATGGAATGCACTGTTGGTCAGTTTTGGGTCACCTGTCCTGTCCGCTCCTCCCTGTAGGTGGGACCCCACTGCGCTTTTCTGCTTCCGACCCTCCAATGGGGCAAGTAGCAAAGTTGTCTGCCCTTGGGTGTTATAGCAATAAGTGTAAGCAGGAGCCTCTCTGCATACCATGCCTGGGAATCAGCTATACAGAATCAGGTCTTACCATTCTGTGAGTGAACAGTTTTCTGCACAATAGGCTATGAATTTCAGTAATTAAAAGAGGCTTAGCTAAAAAGTAAAATTACTGAACAGAAAACTGGTTCTGGTTTGCTTCGAACCAGGACAGCTGGATAAATTTCTGGCAAGTCACTTTAGGCTATTGGGTTCTGCTTTTATTTGGCTTATAGTTACTATGCTGCTTCATATGTTTTGGATCAGAGAAATTAGTGCTGTACTAGAAGCTGAGACTAAACTGCTTGCTATTTGTGGCTTTTAAAGCACTTTAAGCAAGCTGCCATGTGATAGACAGGACTATTGGAGCCTAGTTTCCTAGGAGCGTGTCTCTGAAATGTAGTACTTCCAGCTTTTAATGTAATTTTTCTTCCCTTTTCCTGGTGTCTCTTTCTCGGTGTTCTGCTATCTGAATGAGAAACGGTTTGTGTAACATCCACTTTGAAATTATGCTCACATGGAGTTGTCTGGCAATGAAGAGGCAAGAGATAATTGAAGAATCTAATGCTTCTTAGCTATGTCAGAATAAATGAATAACTTCAGGGACTTCTGGTTGCACTGGACTGTTATTTCTGCTTTTGTGTTTGTTTGAAATTGTCAGAGATGAACAAGTAGTGGCAGAACAGGGAGAGAAGTAAAACATTGATTGTACAAGTCCCATTTGTTTAGAAAGTTAATCAAAAAATCAACATACAAATACTCATCCATTTGTTTTTGGCCATGTTGTGTGTATCAGCATGTGTCAACTAAAAATCAGAGGTTTTATACTTTTTAGTAGTACAGATGTGTCATAGCATCTCCAAAGCATGAATTCTGCTAGCCACTGTGAAGAGGCAGATGTCACTGTGTTCCTCTTACCTGAATTACTGAACGCTTTGTGAAATTCTCAGCAGGTCCACTCGTGGGGAGGGGAAAGCAAATGTGTGTTCTATGGTCATCTGTTGTAGAACTTCAAATGGTGAAGTAACTGTTATAGGAGATGCTGTCACAGAGCAGAAGTACTGCTTCAGTGATTAATTCTCACTTCGGAATGAAAGCTTTTGATTTCCTGGGTTATAGTTTTGGGGGAGTGAGTTGCTCAGATATGTTTGCTGTGGTCAAAAAAGAGACGATAGTAACCTGTTAAAATTATCTTTGAGAAGATGTACATGGGTTGGTAAGGGGTATTGCACCTAAATCTCTTTTGTACCTCAATTGATGTGGTTGGTTTTTTTTTGTTGTTGTTGTTTGTAAATAGCTATTAAAGATCCCTTTATTTTGACATCAGGAATAGAATCCAAAGACTTGATGCAGAGCAAAGTTTTAGTAAGGTAGAAGGATAGCTGTTGCAGTCTCATCTACTGCAGAAATGCACTACAGCTTCTCTACTATATGGAGAATTGCAAGTTGGGTAATAACTTGAGCTAGTGCAGAAATGCAAGTTAGAACACAAATGCACTGTTTATAATAGATTTTATTTCCTCTGAGGCTGTGATTCTACAGATGCACCAAAACGATCTATCTTCTTCACATTGGCCACTCTTCTTGTGGCCTTGCATCTGTTGTGGCTGTGGTAACCTCTGTGTGACTGTCTTGCTATGATGAGCAGCAACCTGCGTATGTCAAATGACTGAAAAACTGAGCTTGGTGCCCACAAAGTAGACAAAACAGTGGATGTACAAATGCCAAACCTGTTTCCATAACAAGCAAAGGGAGCTTTCCACTTCCTGACTGTGATGCGTGGGTCTGTACGCTTGATGAGGGAACCCTATGTTTGTTGTAAAATGGGGGGGAACTTGCTTCAGGCCTTTTCGAGTAAGTGTGTCTGTGCCCCTATATAGATTCTTTTTCAGGGCTGAATTGAGGAAAAATTGTTTAGAAACATGTTTGGCCTAGAGGCATGCAGATAAGGATTACGCAGCCTTTTTTGAGGACTAAGACAAGCAGAAAGGTCAAACATCTAAAAAACTCATTGAGATTTTTGGAAAGGATTCATTTGTCCACTCCCTGTAGCTAGAAGAGCCCTTATACTTTAAGGCAGAGTTACTTAACTTGATCTAACTCAGGACTTCACAAGTCTGTCCATCCTGGTGGACTTCATCACTGTTCCATGGTTTCATTTTACAGTGAGGGAGTAGCGGTAAGGTGACTGTCTAATAACTTGGAAAAACTGCTGCTGAAACTTTTGGTTTGGCTTTGTATGGGACTTGAATTGTACAAAAACATTTGTACAGTTTGAAAGATGTAACTGCCTGTTGGATATGATTCCAAATGAATGGTACATGACTGCATTGTGTTGAGTAACATACTGCACAGGATCTTTTAAGCAGTGACAAGTCTGACTAATGGCTTGATTTCTATACAGGAAAAGTATATGATGGATTTGAATGTATACTAATACATAATAGAACACTTCCGGTGAAAACTGCATGCGAAGTGTTTTTAAAACATAAAATATATTTTTATAGGTCTGACAAGAAGCCTAAGTATAACTTCAGTTGAACAACCGATTGAAAAAGCACAAGGAGATAAAGTTACGTTGCCATGTACTTTTGTACTCTCAGAAGAAGATGAAGGCCCACTAGATATTGAGTGGGTATTGATACCAGCAGATAATCAAAAGAAGGAACAAATAGTAAGTAGAGACTTTTTTGGATGGTGTTAATTAGTTGTTTGAGTAGGTCAATGTATGAATTTTATTACTGACTACTTAAACCTTTTAAACATGACTTTTCGGGTTGGGATGTTTGTGATCTTAAATTACTTCGAAGTACTAGTCATACGCAATATAGTGTAAGTTTTGGAATAGCAAATTGAATATGAAATGTCAAGAAATGCCTCACTATAAACTTGTCTTCTAAAGAAGAACTCTCAAATGAAATATGCTTCAGTTCCAGAAAACAAACTGCTTTTGTATCCATATTATTTTCCTGACTGAAAACTGATTTTTTAACTCTTTTAGTTATTAACCCTATCCTTTCTTTGTAAGCCTTTTCAATAAGAGCACTTCTTTTAGTTAAACAGGTTTTACAAAACAAAATTATAATAGTTTTAAACAGTTTTCCTTCAGTTAGAAGTCAATGATGACGGATTGCTACTTGGACAGGCGTGTGTTTGGAGTATTCATTAGAGTACTGTGCGTGGTGATATTTTGAAGATTGAGATATTTGGCTATGTCATAATTCTAGGATTACTTAAAATGGTAGAAAGAGACGGTCAAAAATCTGAAGATACCAATTTATTTTGAACATTTTCATGCCAAGTGGATTTCTGAATCATATATTTCTTTTTTTTTTATAGATAATTATGTATGCTGTAGACAGGATTTATAATCATTATTATGCTGCTATGACTGGACGGATGCAGTTTACTAATCCTGATCCCAGATCTGGTGATGGTTCATTGGATATCTTAAATTTAAAGTCGGCAGACACTGGCACGTATCAGTGCAAAGTGAAGAAGGCGCCTGGAGTTCAAAGCCAAAAAATACAGCTGACTGTACTTGGTAAGACAATGCTTTTCTTGGGTTTTCAGTGGCATTTTTTGTGTGTTTATTCCATCCTATTGTTGATGTCTAAAATCAAAATTTGTTAGACAAAGTCATACTGAATCTATGATGATACATCCATTGATGCTTTGGGAGGGGTGGACATCATTGTGTTCTGGGGGATGAAGGGAATAATATTCAGAATAATGAGCATTTAAAAAAATTCTGTGCCTGGCTTGTATTTCATAAAAAAACATTTCCATGCATAGAAATGGTTTGTTGCACAAACTTTGTCTCTAGCAAAATGGTCTGACCCACTAGAACACAGCTAATAACCGTTCTGATTGTGACTGTCATTAATTCAATGATACTTTGTTTGTTAGTAAAGCCAGCGAGAACTAAATGTTCCATTGAAGGATCACAGGAGATTGGAAAAGATGTTATCTTGAAATGTGCATCACAAGAAGGATCCCCACTTTTGTCTTATGACTGGAGGAGAGTATCTGGCAAACAGGAACTTCCTGCCACTTCCATGCTGAGTACTGTCAAACTTTATTTATTACTCTTAAATATTTAAGAAAGATTGTGTTTGTATTTTTGGCTTGTCTTGACTTGTGAGCATCTCAAGCTTGATACGAGTATAGAGCAGTCAAGATAAGTGTCATTTCTGCCCTCTCACTGGCTTTGAAGTAAGTTGTGTGGGTTTTTTTTTTATTCATACTGGAAATGTTTCAAGCCTTAAGTTGAGTTTCTTACTGTTAGGCTGCAGAATCACCTTCACCCATGCCTGAGTGTTGTGAGTTCTCTTGCTTGCTGATGTTGGCTGCTTTTCTGCTCAAGTGGACAGTAAGGAAGAGTCAGAACAGAGTCTAGACTAGTGGTTAGAGCTGTGCTCAGGGAAGTGGAGATTAAAAACTTGAATTTTATGAAAGATTGAACTGATGTCTTCACTTCCCGATTGCTTAAAAAAAGGGTATGTGTCATTAGAAGAAAAGTTGTCAAGAGTAACAGAGAAGAGAAGGCTTATCCACTTCTCGCAAAAGCTGATGTACAGGAAAGAGTTATATATACTGAATTTTGACTCATGGATTCCAAATTATTATAGTGGTGATGTTGGATTTTTATTGTGAGAACTTTGTTGTGGAAGATTAATCTGTGAGTCTTGGATTTGTGAAAGTTATTCCGGAATATTTTTTGGAAAAGTACTGCTCAGTACTAGTTCTTTTTGGTATTCTTTGTAGTTATGAAAAACCTTAAACCTTGAGATGGTGGAGTTTCCTTGCAGATGAAGCAGTTTTAGAATCTGCTTACAGATAAACACATTTTAACTTCGGTTGTATAGGACATACGGGACAAAACGGTGTTGCGCCCAAGAGTAACAAAAGTGGATGTCTAGGGGAAAGAGAATAAGAAGTTGTGTGGTTCTTCCTCATAGGGCTCTCCTATCCTTCTGTAGTTTATGCCTGAGGAAATTCAGATGTGGCTTCAGTTTAATTGATTTAAAACAAACAAAACCTGACTTCTGTGAATTTCTCCATGTTCCTTTAAGCTTTTGTAGTCTATTAGAACCTCTACTATCTCTAAAAATCAGCTACATACAAAGAACCTCATACTGTTCTTCATTTTGAACTTGCCTCCTGTTAGTGCTGTTTGATATCTCTTATTTCTTGTTTTGACAGTGAACAGTTGATCACTAATGTCCTTCTCTGTACCAGTAAAGACTTTAAGCCTCTGTTATGGCCCTTCCTTCTCCACATCCCCAACTTGTCTCATGGTAACAAAAAAATCAATTGACAATATCAGTGGTGGACAAGAATGAGCGAGGAAGTATGCAAAAGTGGCATGTAGCTCAATAAAACAATGTTTGTTTTGGGCTTGTGAATGTAGGTTTGGGGACACTGAACAAGTTCTTAAGAATCAAGATACTACCTAACTTCTTCAGCCGGAAGAGCTGATGTATTTGTGTGGTGCTATATTCCTGTGATGTAGTCTCTTTCGGTGCTGATGGCAAATGTATTGGCAATTAAAGAATGCAAGCCAATTGAAGTTCATATATTAGAAACTCTCAAAGGTAGCTGTCAATGGCTTCGAAAGGCTTGGGGAAATACCCTCTTCTGGCTGATTGTGTCCTCTGCTGTCGGCATAACTAGACTTAATTGGTCACCCATTGGAGCGCAGTGTTCAGGTTAGATCTACCTCGTAGCGGATCCCACCTTACGGGTTCTGCAGGCGTCTGAGCTGGTTTTGTAGAATCAGTTTAGAGAGAAAGAAGAGGAGGTGGTACTTCTGGGATGCAGTTAATTTTAGAATTCTGTGTTAGGATGAGAGAATTGGCTGGTTTAGGCGTCTGTTCCTATCCATTGACAGAGCAATTAGTCTGTAGGCTTAATATTAAGTCAAATGATGTGGAATAAATTTCTAATACAGTAAAGACTTTTACAAGTGATAGTATTTTTCAGTATGGTAGATTTTTGGGTTTATTTGGATATTTTTAATACATCGTTTTTTCGTTAATATTTCATCTATATGTTGGATTAATAATTCTGCAGTATTGAATATGGAATTAAATTTTGGAAAATGGTCAACCTCTGCCTTTTGTTGTTTTTAGATAAAAATACAGGGGAACTTCTCTTGAAAAATGCCTCTCAAGACTATTCTGGTACATACAGTTGTGTTGCCTCAAACAGAGTTGGCACAGATGAATGTTCTCTTGAGCTGAAAGTCACCCCTCGTAAGTGTTTGCTGTGTAACAGTCGCCTAGTGTTTTGTGTATTAAAATGGAATAATCTTGTTTCTCTAAACTCCGAAAAAGTTAAAGCAACCCTGTTGTGTAACTGATGGTTGCTGCTTCAAGTCTTTACTTGCCAAAATGTTGCTTTTTATGCAGAAAGCTGTAACTCTTACTATTGTTTTAAATGCATGTGATTGAAGCATACCCTCTGCGATTCAGTGATATGCTATTAACCTGGATCATGTGGAAACGTACTGTTTTTAATCTTGAGTTAAGAGAAAAGAAGTTGATCATATAAATTTGACACCTAACAAACAGTATTGTTATTTATCTATTCTAGCTATAAATACAGCTGGTATAATTGCTGGAGCTATTATAGGAACTGTGCTGGGTCTTTCTGTACTGGCTTTTCTTGTCATCTGTTGCTGTAAGAAACACAGAGACAAGAAATATGAGAAAGAAGTACATCATGATATCAGGTAATTACACATTTCTAGTTTCAGAACAGTATTATTTGAAGATTAACTTTTAAATGTGTATTTCTGCAAGTAAGATACTTAACTGTTGAGATTTCTGTCTTAATCTGGAAAGCTTATTAACATACTAACAGCTTGTCAGGGACCTTTGTTTTGAATGTAGTGTAGGTTGTCATGTCTAATTTTGGTAAAGATTTTTGAAGGCAATGAATACTTGATTTTTTTTTAATTTAAAGTAATATGTGGGCCTCTTGTCTACTGTGTCAGAATAAAAAGAAACAAAGTGAAATTTGTTTTGTAAGCTCCCACATAGTAATGGTGACTGAACTCTTGTTCTGCAACTGTTTGTTTTGTGTGTTTCAGAGAAGATGTCCCACCTCCAAAAAGTCGCAGTTCAACAGCACGCAGCTACATAGGCAGCAATCGTTCTTCTCTGGGTTCAATGTCTCCCTCAAATATGGAAGGATATACCAAAACTCCATATAGCCAAGTCCCAAGTGAAGACTTTGAACGTCCTCCTGGTCAAAATGCAACCTTTGCACCTTCAAAGGTAGCTGCACCTAATTTAAGTAGAATGGGAGCTGTTCCTGTGATGATTCCAGCACAAAGCAAAGATGGGTCCATAGTATAAAATATTATTAATTTAAATGCTGGTTTTGATGTGTTCATTGTAAGTGTTAGAGAAAACTACTGTGTTCCATCCCTCATTTAAACAATGGCATGCAATTTTCCTTGAAGAAACTGAACAAGCTAGTGTGAAAAGCCACCAATTCTCATTTTTAATTTTAAACTTATTAGTATGACAGTTGAACTATTTGCTAAAAGCGTTGAAGATCCTAAATATCGGACACTGAAGGTATTTGGACCTCTGGTAGGTTGCTGAAGAAATACTGTCAGCTAATGTGCAGTTCTGAATATGTGACAGCAAGACACAAGTGAGAAGTAACAAAAGCATTTCATATCTAGACCATGAAGTTTCTCAGAGTTCCTGAAACTTTATCCTCAATTTTGGAATAACAGAAATATTTGAACTTTGCCACTGTCTGATGTAGTTGCAGGGGGCTGAAATACTGAGGATGGATTTGAATTCTGTTCAAACTATTTATGCAGTTTTTTAACCTGGTAATGTTTGTTTGGGGCACTTGTTGAGCTCTTATTTCAGGGGCTACCAGTTATTTGATTGGCTCAATTAATTTAATGAGTCTATTCTGAATTTAAAATTTCAGTGAGTGGAAGTGTGATAGGAGACCTTGCAAGCTCTATGAAACATGAATTTTTCTGTAATAACTAGTCCTAGTCATGTCAGATAACGTTAAGTTATCTGATGCAAGAGGTCCTATCGGGTTGTTGGTAGTGGTACCTAAGTTTTAAAATGTGTAGATCAGCTGTTACTGTCACAGTAAGAATGAATATGTATCTTTATACAGGTCTTATGTTAATTGTACCTTGCATTTTCCAAAGCCTGTTTAGATTCTAAGGCAGTGCTCTTACTTTTTTTTCCAAACCTACTACTGAGAAGCTCCATGGGGTTTTAATGAAAGCTGTTAAGTAACTGGTATTTGATATCTGTCCTCCAGCTCTAACATCACTGTGGAAACATCTTTTCATCCATATACATGTAAGCAGTAGTTCACCTTTACTTAAGATGCTAATATCTTTCTGTATGAATTTGCAAGGAGTTTTAAAGCTCGTTTCTCCTTGCCTCTTCAACAGCACTAAATATTATGAACAGACATTTAGACTTTTAAGAGCAAGAGTTATGAAGCCAGAATCTGAGAGGAAATAGTTATTTAGAATTGTTGATACAAATCTTGTGTTTCAAGATTAAACCCCCTTCTTCCCAGTTTTGCAAACTTAGTGTTACAGGAGGAACAGAACAATTCCTTATCTTACTTTCACACATACTTAAGGACTACTGGTAAGCTTCTGATGACTGGTATTATATACCTGTGGAAGCTGGATTTAAAGCTTGGTGAAAGTTTGAATCTTTGTGGATTTTTTTTTTCTTCCTTCTTATTTTCTACTTTCTTCTTCATCCTGTGCTGGGGGGTGGGGTGGGGGGAGTCCCTTCACCTTATTCTAGCTGTAGGTGTTAAACTGCAAGGTATTTTGGAAAACACTAAATGCACGTAGTAGGTGGCACTGATGTCGATGAAGGAAAAATCTGAATAGCCTGTTGAAAGATGTTAGAGGATTATTTGTATGTAGCAACACTGTGAGAGAGAACATTTCCCCAAACTTCTAGGTTTAGTGTCTGCTTTTTTGTAGCTGCTTATAGATCTGTGATAAATTCTTTGGCTTACTACTATCTGTAGTATCTGTTTGTCCTATCTGTAGTTAGGTGCACAATTTTTGACTGGCACTATTAATGTAAAGAAACATACCCTTCATACTGAATTTAGAAACTTGAATGACTATTAAGTATTCTATACTTAGTTTTACACATTTGGGACTTTTTTAGATTGTAAACTGATACTGTTACAGATCAGATTTTTTTTTTTTAATCTTTCATGTGTGCCTTGTCAATAAACTTTGCCTGATTGTAACTTAAGTTTTTATGAAATTTCTGGTGCCTAAACTTACTGTTTGAACAGGTGCTTAGATGATGGTACAGTTCTTAAAACATGACACTGTGATCTGGTTTCTTGATTCTTATGTACTATTTATACCTCTTCATGCCTATTTTTGGATGTGACTTCAGTGTCTCTCTCTGTATTGTTCTGTATTTCAAAATGTCAGTTACTCCTTCAATTGCTAATTATGATCTAAGTGTTTATATCCCTGAAATCTGTTCAGTTGTTGTACCAATGAGATGGCTGATTGATTTTTATTTGTGTGGTAAATACTAGGTTTAGTAACTGTGCCAAACATATGCTTATGAAGAACAATAGATGAGGAGACATCGTCTTGCATCCAATTATTGTGATAGAAGAGACTTCCGAGACTTTAATCATACACTGATTGTTTATCTTGAAACTAAGGCCTTCCTTAATTAAAAGGGTATAGTTATTATAAATACAAGTTGAGTACAAAAGTAAACTGAATCACAGACCGAAAGAGAGCTATAAACCTAAGCAACCAGGCAACAAACCTACTGAATTTGGTTCTTGGCCATCTGCAGACATATGTGAGATTAGATGTGGGTTTTGGTTTTTTGTTTGCTTGCCTTTTTTTTTTTTTCTTCTCGCTTTTTTTTTTTTTTTGGCCTAAGACCCTGTACTTAGAGTCAGGTAAGCCCTAGGACACTCAATAACAGAAACCTGTCTCACTGAAGCATACAGAGCAGAGTTTACACATGCTTAATGCTCTGTCAGCTTGTACAAAATAGTAAATGGACAGAAAAGAAGGACAGCATGATGTGCCCTCAGAGCCTAGCTGTTAGGCTTAGCAGCCTTGACAGTGTCTGTCTATTTATGTAATTGCATGGAAAATAAAAGAAATAGAATCTGACATAGTCCTTATCTGAAATAAAGAACCTCTGACTTGGGGTAAACTTTGCCTCAAGTTGCTATCATCATGCCTTTCTGAATGGATACAAACTACTATGAAAACATAATACTGCTGTTATAAATTATTTCTTTCATCAATAGATTGTTCACTTACACTGCATTATGATTCTCCAAAGCAGCTACCATAATTTAGCAATGATTTATAGCTGTGTAAGAGATGAACTGGTTAAACACGTGAGGTGTCCAATCTTACAGATAACTCTGCAAACGGAACTCTTTTAGGAAGTAATGGCAGCTGATATACCTGTAAAAGGTGGCATTTTTAATGTCTCATTTTATTAAAAAAAAAAAAGAAAAAAGGAAAAAAGGGGGGGTAACATTATGTAAATACTCTAAGTGAACTCATGACGTTAACTAGAGGTTTCTTGACTGTAAACTTGCCTGTTGAGGGCTACTATATATAGAAGAAAACCCTCAGTTTTAGCATGGTGTGAATACAGTGTTAGACTTGTAATACTGTAGAGGCTACGTAACACTTGTCCATATATTACAAGCATTTTCATAAACTCTCTGAAATGGATATTTAAAGATATTTGTGTGAAACTTCCTTACCTAAAAATGAATACTTCTTCCAAAACTGTGTAGTGCACAGAAATGCCTTGTTGGAGGGGTAAAACATGAATTTTGAAAGAAATGTACAATGCATACATCTTTATCAGCTCTGATAGTCGCATTCAGATTAGATGTATGCTTCCTGCTTAGTAGTACAAGTAAGGCTTCTTAATTGCAAGTTTTTCTGTAATGCTGAATATTGTATATTACTGGTTTCCATGATAAGCTTTGGTTTTGTTCCTTACAGTGTATATTCTGGATCACTTTAGATCTTTGTTCCAGTCTAAAGACGTAATACTATTTGTGTCACTTAAACCTTGTTTTATACACTTGATAGGTGCTTTATGGGACCCTTTGGTTATTGGTCCTCTAGCATTGAAGCACAGCTCAGTTGAAATTGGAGCAATAATATTTCCTGGAATCCAAAATGTTATGATGTTACGTTACACTTCTCATGCATAAAGCATGGACTTGAATATTGATATGAATTTCAGTATGAGGTTTTTTTTATTCACACTTTTGGGGGAATGGTATTTTAAAATACAAGTATTGTGAGTGAATTTGTAAAAACAAAATCCAAAATTTTAAAATGCTGTAGTTCCATGACAGACTTGTGTACTTTTTGAAATAAAACTGTTGGAGAAAACAGTAGTCTGTCTTTATTTTAAAGCAGCACTTGTGTATGGTTTCAGCTTTCTCTTTATGTAGTTGGAAGTGAACTAATAAATATTGCTGTGTATACCACACTGGCATTAATCATTTTATTTCTTGCTCTTTCCCCCTGTTAATTTCTAAGGGAAGTAAAACTTTAGGTATTTTAAAACATGCACTTATTTGTGGTGTCTAATTGTAGATACACAAACGTAGCGATCAATTTTGAAAACACACCAGAGTGATCTCAACAGTTATTCTGAACCATAAGGCTGGAAAGGGACTTTAGATTAAATTTCATCCCCCATTATTTTAGGTAGAACCAAAAATTCCTGAAACTGATAAATTCTTGCCTTTTAAAATTCAACCAAGCGGGTTTACAGCACTCAAAGCATGTTGTTGCCTGTTTTTATATTGTCAGTTAATGTGCATCTTTTTTGATTCAAATGAAGTTGACTTGGGATACTCCCCACCCCTTGGCCTTGCAAACCAACTGATGACTGTCCTTGTAATTTTACCTAAGATTAATGCAATTTCTCCAGTGTTGTCTTGGGCACATATTTAGTTTTACGAAACAAAGTCTGGCACGGCCTCTGTTTGCATTAATGGCACCTGTTATGTTTAGATCATTGGACACCTAATTAGCTTACACTTGTTTGTAATATATGCATATCTTTATGTATGCATATCTTCATATGTTAATGTGTACCTGTGCCATGCCAGGTATTTTTGTCACTTCTTTGTGTATATATAAAAATCCTGTTTGATACATATGTGCACAAGCATATGAAATTAAATGGAGTACTGGTGGAAAAACCTTTAGGAATTTTTCCTATTTTAAATTAAGACTTATGCTTACATACAAAATGAAACCTAATAAAAATGGGGGTTAAGAAACCTTTCTATACCCTTTTAATATTAACATCAAGATTTAAGCTCAAGACTTCCATCTTTTCCTGAGGTGACAGTTTTGTCACAGATGGCACTTGAATGCCTCAGCTGTCCCAGGTCTTTTATTTGGAGTGAATCAGAGAAGCTGAGTACCTCCAGCTTGTCTGTGGGAATTCCCACAAATCAGCTAGTGCTTTCCAGAGAGTGTCCTGAAAGAACAGAGGCACTCATCACATGGTAGTTCTACA